ATCATACAATATTGAAACTCGTAAGACCTCTTTAGATCCAAATAGCAAGTAACTTTTTATTTAGCTAGGAGCTCTCCATGAGAGAGCAATGAAGCCAGGGAGTCAGAAGAATGCTTTGCAGTTGAGACTCATTAAATATGACAACCTGTTTTGCCTTTTTTCACAAGAAAGAGACTGTCACTCCTCAGTACTGAGCATTTGGATGATACATTCACAGCAGAATATTTTTTGGAAGTGTCCATAGACTAGTTTGAGAAGCAAACAATCCAGAAGTGTTCTGCTGGCCTGTAGATGTGTATAATTTGGGAAAGGAATGTTAGGAAAGACGTGCAATGACTGCGACGGTAAGAAAGCTACAGATTGCTGTATCAGTTTGTTTTTAAGACACCCTGTTTCCAGGTTTATTCACAGTTTAATCCACTAGACATTTCAGTAATTCCTGTCTATTTCTGCTCAAAAGAAATGTTTTGTAAGTATACGAAAAAGAAAATTGCTCACAACCGATGGACAATTCTACTGTAATAAACTCTGGTAGTCCTGTGATGTAGGAAGCAGATAGCAGACTTTTGTGAATAAATAAGTAGTCTACTGAAGTACCTGTTTAGTATTTAACAGTGGAGAGTATTTGCTGTCATGTGCCTTGTGCACCCTGGCTTAGTGATGCATGCTCTCACTTGAATAAGAGATAGTCTGGACATCTAGTTTGTGGGGAAGGTGTTGTGCTTGTGCATTTGATAAAAGCTGAAAAATTATGTCAGTGTCCTTTGAATAAATGCAGTAAGATTTTTTTTTTTTTAAGTTTGCCACACATATGAGATACAAACAATTGAAATATATTTCCAAAATCTGTTTATCAGAAAACTTTTTAAAGCAAAGCAGACCATCAATTGGATATGACCTTGTGAGGGTATCTTTTTCAAATACAATAGCAGTTAGAACTGCACAACTGCAATAATGTGATATCAGGAAACTGACCCATGATGGAAAAGGCTGTGGAACTATAGTTAGGTTGTGTTTTCTGAGTGTGAAACAGGAGAGAATCTGTTCACATCGTACTGAATAATATTCATAGCTGGAGAACACCATGGAGCTTATGGTATGTACATGTCTGAGAGTGGTGGAGGGGGATACCCTTTAGGAAAAGGTGTTCTTCTAGATGTACAATGTTATCTCACTGGAGGGGAAAGCCCGTATCCCGTTTAGGTAGCTCTTGCCCATCATTCTTCTCTGTCAGATTCTCCATGAGAAATCTGGTGTGGAAGTGCCTGGCCAAGAACAGAAGTAGTGGTGTTTAAAGGTCTAAATAGAAGACATCTGCAGTACGTGGATCTGGACTTAAGGATGAACACATGTTCAAGTGGAAAAGGGAATAGTTTAGTGGAGTAGATATCTCAGAATACAATTAAATATTCTGTAAACTATATGGAAGGCTTAAAAAAGCATTTTTAAAATGTCATAGAGCTTTGAGAGTAGTGGGTTGCTTAGTTGAGGAAGTACAGAGACTTGCTGAGAAAAGCACTGAAAGGTACAAAACGCAAGTAGATTTTTTGGGGCTGGGGTTTAAAGAGCATTTCTGTCACCTTATGTCCAGAGAAGAAGAGTAGGCTGCCTGCTCCACTTCTGCCATAATCAGGAGAAAACAGTAGTTTGGAGGGGGAAATTCTCCATTTCAGAACGGAATGCCATGATCTGTTTCTGAGGTCCATTCAGTCGTCCATGGGGTTATTAGATCTGAAAGACGAGTTTTGTTGACCTGCAGGGCACAGTTTTTTGCTGCTTGCCAGACTTTGGTTTTGCAAATCCCTCTCATCAGTGTTCACAGTCTCTGTTCCTCTGCAGACACTTGAAGTGGTGCAGTGTTAGAATAAACCCTAATATAAAGTAAAACCACATACATGGGTGGTTTGTGAAGTACAAATTCAGAGCTGAAAACAAGCCTTTAGGGTAGAACAGGACTGAGCTGCATTGTTTTGCTTCTCTGTTGTTTTTGGCTGCGTATATTTTATTTAAACTTTTGAGTTCTCACTTGCAGGATTTTCTCAATTCTGGTAACTCCAGAAGTGAAGTGTTTTCATGGACATGAATTTGCCTCACTTTTTCCACAGCAGGAGTAATCTATTATTAACAAGTTAATAGAGAAGTCTGTTTTAAATAATTAAGCAAGTTTCAGTAATAGATGAACTAAGGGGAAAAAAAAGAGAAAGAAATTAAATAAAGATGAGTTTCTATTGATAGGATATTGTTTTCTTTTTCTGAGCAGATCTTTTGAAACTGTTTGTTGAGCACACAGAATACAGGTCATCTTCCTGTCATGTATGCGAGACCATAGTCTTAAAATCATCCAGCCAAAAAATGCTGCAAAAATCCCAAACGAAAAATAATTTTAAAAAAACAACAAAAAGCATTTTAACGTCCAGGACAGAAAGCTTTATGCTGATTCGTCGATCACACAGGAGAAAGTTTAAATTTATCAATTAGTCTGCTTGAAGACAAACACTCTCCAGATGAGTTACAGGCTTTTAAATTACAATGAGCACTGGATACATAACCCCTTGAATATTTTTGTTTGTTTGTTTTAATTTTTTTAAATTATTGAACGATGAAAATGGTTTCAAGTGATTTTTGTGGGCTATTGAAAACTAGAACAGCACTTATTACAGTTTTAAAGTCTTTTCAAAACACCAGAGGGATCCACACTAATTTTTACAGACTGACACATGAAGCTGCATTTGAGCTAGAAGTTCAAGTGAAAATACAGCTAAGGAAGTCCATACTTCAGAGAGAAACATCCAGCACCTGAACCAGCTTCCAGGAGCCCTGCCGCGCTGGCAGGCTTCCATCCAGTGTGCATGCTGATGGACAGACCCTAGCCACATAGCCCGTGTGTGTGATCTGATGGGCAACCAGAGTCTGTACAGCCTAAGATTTTATTCAAAGAGAAGTTACCAGCTCACAGAGTGTGACTCTGGTACTGCATGGTTACTGCTACTGACACGTGTAGCCAAGAGACTCTTTGAAATGGGCAAAATAAAGGGCCATCTTGCCCTAACAAGCTCAGTTAAATGTATTGTTTGCTCACTCAGACTTTTCTGACATCTAAACATCTATGTATTCTTAGGTGTATTTTAATTTTGTATTTGAGACTTAGTATATAATAGTAACAGGTGGAACTCTTTCTTCAAAGACTTTGACAGAAGTGCACAGTTGTTGCTTTGGTCAAAGTCTGTATTTTTGTAACTTCAGTGAATTATACTGAAGAATTACAACTATGGTATTGTGTGGACACTCGTGGACAGTGTGTTTGTTTTAAAGAAGCTAGTTTATTCAGAGCTTTTACATAATGTAGCATGTGTGGACAGTCAGATCTCTCATGTGGGATTGTCAATTATTGTTCAGATGGTGGCAAGTGGCAGGAGGCTCTGTCCTTACAGGGCATCGTCAGCTGGATCAGGGGAGATTCCCCAAGCTAAGGCTCCCCAAACTGCATTTGTTCTCAGGTCTTGCATACAGCTGGTCTGTGATCCTACATGACCACTATAGCACATGTCATCCATTGCTATAGTTTACCTTAAATTACATACAGAACACCTCCTATGTTAACTGCGTACATAAGATTGTTGTACATGACATTATTTGCATCTGCAGGAATAGTTTCTGTTGACTACTGGCAAGTATCTTACCCATGACTTTCTGGTCATTTTTGCAGCAGAAACTGCTTGGGGACCTATTGGGTCAACTGCAGTCCCGAGGATGGTAGGTAGCACCCTGAAGTGATGAGTGGTGCCTCTCACTTGTCATATGCACAGGAGGAGCCCACTGCAGGGAATCTGAGGCATGGACAGTCCTATAGCAGTGAGTCAAATGTGAGCAGTTCAGTCAGTTACTTTGTCTCAAGTCAACTCATTGTATCATCTGTGCACAAACAGGGCCAGCTCCTGAACCACCCAGCAAACTGGTGGGTAAGTGCACTACATATGTGCAGGGGCAATACACCACAACTATAGTACAACCTTAAGTTTCATTCTTAGGTCACAGCTGTAAATTGAATTGCACAGGTTGTCCCACAGTATGCAAGTGTATGTACAGTCGTTCTGAGTTGTTTTTATTTTTTCAAACCCTCCATTTTTAACACTATAGTTAAAGCAAATTTAAACAAAGATAACCAATAATAATGATTAGTTACTGTAAGGAAATTCAGCTTTCAGCTCCATCCTTTATGTGTACTTTATGCCGTCTAAAAGCTATGAACTTTGATGGTCTCAGTCTATGTTTTAGTGAATAGAATTTGAATTGTTAAAATCACAGTAGGTACTCTGCCACAACATAGTTGTGCTAAAACGTAAAAGATTTACTGCCATAATTGTGATGTACTGGGCAGTGCTTGTAAAATCGTGCATCTGACTATACTTGCATGTTGGACCTGAATATTTCATAGTGCTTTGACCTTTGCCTAATGTGTATGGGTACCTCTCAGAAGACTTTTTATCACTGAAATCAAATAAATGTAAAAGCTTTGCTTTATCTGGTTGTCTCCTCTGAACTAATGTACAAGAAGACTATATTTGCCATTCCCCTGCCAAGAAGCCTGTAGGTGGACTTTAGTGCCATAGAAGTAATGGCCTTTTGTTTAAGTGAATCTTGTGTTGCTGAAGTATTTGTTGATGTCATCCCCTCTGTCCCAGATTTGTATGTGATGATGTGAGCCACTAGGTTATACTCTTTTCAGCTAATGCTAAAAGCAGGTGAAATAACACTGCTTTTATAAAGCAAGAGCAGGTAGGTGGTTGTATTAAAAGATTTTTCAGTGTCAGTTATGTTTGTCTTCATGAGCTGCTCAGTAGCCAGTTGGTTTGACCTGGATAGGTTAAATGCAACACAATACAACACAATCCTCTCCTGTTACAAATTCTGTTACTAAATCCCTCTGCACAATAGCAAGGAAGTCTTCTCAGGTGGAGTGGGTTGCATGTTAGTTAGAGTCAAACAACGCCAAAATTGCGATGGAGAATTTTTGGATGTACCAGGTTGAGTATCGTAAGAAAAATGTAAGTAGATATTCAAGAGGAGAAATGGGCTAACTCATACTTTTTTATTGCTGCGCTTAAGAAAATACTTTGGAGTTCCACTGAGGGATGTCACTATGTAATAACAGCATGCTTCACATGAACGTACTATTTTTGTTCTGACAGCATTTTTCTTAGGCTTCTAAAAAGTGTTTTGTTAACAGACAATGAAGCAGTCACTAAGCATTTATTTTAGACTTCAGTTTGTAGTGTATTGAGCAGCTATGCAAGCTGTCTTCCCACTATGATTTATCAAAATATTTCTTGTTATTGCTGTGAAAGCTGCTTCCAGACTGTGACTGCATTCTTTCCTTGTGCATTGTATGTGGTACCTCTAAAAATGCATCTTGATGCAGAAGAGAACTGAATGTTTATTCTTCAAAGACTGAACTTTTTTGGACAAGTGTTTTTGGGGACAGCTTTCATGTCATGTCACATAGCAAACTTTGTAGGATGTTTGATATTTGGGTTTGGTAGTTTTAGGTTTGGGATTTTTTTTCCCAGAAAAATTTGAGCAGACATTCAAACAGAGCACATGGAAAGCTGTGTGATCATTTTGATGGTTGCTTAATTCTGGTACTTTGTAGATGAAAATAGTTGAGTAAAGCTATTTGTAGTGCTACTGGTGTAACTGTTAATACATTTCGGATGGTGCAAAAGTTCTTAATGTCAGCAACCAACTGGTTTAAGTGAACTAATTTATTGTTTTCACTTCAGTGTGTGAATATGAGCTTTCAGGCATTTTAAATAACTTCTTTTTTTGTGGAAACATTTGATGCTAAAGTTTGATATGCTTTACTTTGTTTACTATTTAAAGCTCAATCCTACACTATCTCAATGCCATTATTAGGTTGATAGTATTATGCACTTTTATATTTAATCCTAATAGAGAAATACTCTGTAATTATTGGGAATGTGAGCACTATGAGGATGATTCCTTAAGTGAATAGGAGTTTCCATTTGTGCAGTTGAGTCACTGTGGCACTGTTCCTCTGGTAGTTACACAGCAAGTCAGGGCAGCCTGTATCCCTCCCACAGACCCTGCATGAATGCCGGCAGTGCAGTGAGCAATCCTTCAGTCTGACGGCGCAAGCACATGTCAGTGTTCTAAGGAACTTTTCACAGCTGCGTCTGGTCAGGGACTGTTTCACAGCTCTACTTCCTTTTTGCCCTGCAGCTGTAATTCAAAATATACAGACATGCAAGGACAGCTGTTTTACACAGGAGGTATCTCTAAAAGGAGCTGCTTCTTAATTCTTTGGAAGCCTTTATTAGTTAACTATAATTCTAATATTTAGTAATTAGCCAAGATAAACCTTTTGAAGGAATGAACGTAAAGAGAAAGAGGAGAAGGGAATTTTATTGTCTTGTTTTGTTGTATATTTATGAAGTTAAGCTTGCAAAACTTAGATTTTTTTGCACACTATTGCACAGAACTCAGTGCTTCAGCTGGAGTGGAGGCATAGCAGGAGGGTACTCCTAGACTGGAGCTGCTGCCAGCTCAGAGCACTGGAAGTGTAGCCCTATTCTGGTATGACTCATTGGCTTAGAGAAAAGCCATGTCATGTAATAGTTTATGAAACCAAAAGAGCAATATTTCTCTGTTTCACCGTTAGTGATGAACTATTGAGCTGGCAAAGCTAGGGTCAAACCCCTTATGTTAAAGGAGAGTGTAGAATGCCAGAGCTGCTGGGCTAAACACCCAGCTTCCATAGCTAATGCTAAACCTTCCTTTGAGGATTCACATCTTGGCATGGGCACGGACATGTTTTGCAGGCATCTTCTTAAAATCTGCCTTTAAAAATGCCTGCTGGGTCAAAGCTTTGTACTCTTTCATTTTGGTCACCTTCATTAATTCCACATTCTGAGCTCTTGTGTCATACCTCCATACCAGTCCCCTGTGCTTTGAACAGCTTTGTAGTGTCATCAGCATTCATTAGGAATTGCCCATGATTAGAATACCCTTTCCCAAAGCATTCTTTCCTTTTACCAAGATACTTGCTGACAGATCACATAGATCTAGATATTCCATGATACTGCTTTCCTATGCGCTTTCCTTTGGTTTTCTGCTGTGACATTCTTGATGATCATGAATGGCTAGGACATGATGGGAAAGACAATTTCTCCACTGAATTGTTTACAGCAAAGGAAGAAAAATGAGAAATCTGACCTAGAGAGCATGTATAATACTAAAATTATAGTACAAACTGTGAAATATTTTCCAGGTTTACACTGTAACTAGGATGAGGAATCATAGTCTTTGATTACATTGGTATTGAGTAGTCCTTGAATAGGTTCCTGAGTCCTTGAATACATTAGTATTACTCTGTACAATTTATAAAAGTTGTTTTCTAAGATGATAGAATAACATTTATGGACAAGCACTGCAGCCTACATCTGCTCAGATTAGATTTGTTTAGCTCTTAAGATTAATGATACCTGAAAGCATGTGTGGTTATGGGGAAATTGCAGCCTTTTCTACATTCTCCCCAATTTGACAACTAATTAATCTTTAGCTGAATCCTTGTGATATGGTCATGGTCAATTCACTTCTCTCCCATCACAGCTTCCTTCTTAGGGACTTTATCTTTTCTTTCCTAGATCGTCAGAGCTTAGGACATCAGTGTGCATTGCCTATAGCCTTCAGTAAGCTCACAGTCATTAGCCTGCATGCAATAGGCATCTACTTGTGCAACTCAAAGTCCTGTAGCTGCAGCTTAGTTGAATGCTGACAGTAAGTGTAAGTAGTTGGCCTAATACCAACATCAGATGACCCTCTATTTACCTTGCAAAAATACACTTCTATGACACACTTTTTGGCTGAGTGTTGCTTGCCACTGAGTACAGCTTTTTATTTTTCCAACTGCTTCATTTGATACATTACTAACAAATAAATACAGGTGTTTTTTAAAAGACTTAGGTGTTCAGGATAATTCCAGTACATACTGATATGTGATCATTATGATAAAAAGCAAGGGTTACAACATCTTAAAACTTTTTGTCTTAGTTTTGGGGTTTTTTTTCCCCTCTCATCTCTTATTTCCACTGCCAAGTTAGAGGAGGATATCAAAGAACAATTTCTACATTGGTCATTCAGATTATTATTTGATTTTCTTGCCGTATCTAGTCTCCATCTCCAGATTCCTCTTCACCTCGGGGTGCTGAATCGTCAAGTAGGCAACATCACCAGGATGTCTGCAGTACAGCGGAGGCCTCCACTAATAAAGAGGTAGAGTGAAATCTTTTTAAAAGCCACAGTCTTGTTCATTCTGCTTATGCCTTTTTATTTTCCTTTTCCCCCTTGTACCTCTGCAATCCCTCCTCTTCTTCCAAAACTGCAACAAACTTGAAAAGCTGATTTGTAGCTCCATTCCCTTAATGCTTGCCTGGCTGTCAGACTGAATTTCTAACATGCTTAAGACTGTTCATCATGGCATTTCTGACTCTGTGGTCAGCTGCCACTAAATTTATTTAACATGCTGGGAGGTATTGATTTACCAAACAGCCAACATCACGTCTGTATTACAGGCAAAAGAAAAAAGACTTTTTTTTTTTCCCCATGCAGAATGTCCTCCTGCACAGAAAAGAATGTTTCTCTGCCAGATGAAAAAGCTTGCTTCAGTAAAATTAATTAGGTAGTAATTTATGCTGCTTAATATTCTGCCATTGTAGAAACTGATCTGCCAGTGATTCACAGTCAGAATTCAGTTCCTGACTCCAGGCTCCTCAAAATACAGCTAAATACTTACTTTCTTTTTTTTTTCCTTTTTTTTTCCCCCTCACCTGGCAGCTTTTTACACTGCAGTAGTTCCACCAACACAAAATAGAAGTGTGAGTAGAACTTCTTGCAGTGTGGGGAAAAAAAATCATTTGGCATGAAAAGTATTTGCATTAGTATAGAATGGCTGGCACTGTAAACATAAAAATCTGCAAATATTTTGTTTATTTGCTTTTTGTTTTTTAAATCTCAGAAATATCTAGAAACTGTAGTCTAACAAGATACCATATTGTTACTGATAACAATGCATGAGTCATCTTCCACAATGAAAAAAAGTGATCTGCCATAACTTGAAATACTGAGTAAAATTGAAACAGTAATTAGTAATCTCTTCTTTCTCTTTTTCTTTTCTTATGATCAAGGGATAAAAAAGCTTGTAACATGTATGTATTTATGCCAGTCTGTATTTGCATTGAGAAAATAATGAAAGGTTTCAAAAGACTTAAGAAACTCATAATTTCTTATGTGCTAAAGCCTTCAACAATAGATTGTGCCATTAAATTTTCATCTGCTATGTTGTTAATTTGTTAAAGCCTTTAGTTTACTTCAGTGGAGATAGATTTTCACTTCAAATACATCCTAGCTTTTAGCAGTTTTTAGATATTGGTAAACTTACTCAAAGGAAGAAAACAAACAAGATGCTACTAATTTCAGTTTTTAGGTTGTGCTCACACATAGTGTCAGAGATGGTAAACCAGGTGTCACAGTAGGGTGTGTCAGGCCATTTCCCTCAGAAGAGCGATAATACTTGCTTTAGTACTTCCAATGCAAGAACAATAGTGATAAAGCTCCCTCACAATTTTTGGCAATGACTTTTAGATCTTAGTAAAACCTTTTTTGAAAATATAAATTTTATAATGCTAGGTGGCAACAAGATTAACAAGAGTAATGAAACATTAATGAGTTTGATATTTCATTATTCATGGATATGTGAAATTAAAGGGTATAGGTTTCCTCCTATTGGTAACTTTACCTGTTACTTTATTATTCCTGTGGTCTTAGTAGAATGTCTTTCAACCTGGGTAATGAACAAAAAAACCTAAATTTGGTGTTTGAGTTTTTGAAATAAAAGCATATATGATGACAATTTACACCACTCTATCCTGAAAAGAAGTTGCATCAGCTAGTCAGATTGCTGAATAGTTGCCAAATCTGTAGTTAACAGATTTGGTTCATTCTATGTAAAAAAAAAAAATACTTTGGAAAGGGCATTTCTATGCATGAGCTATCTCTGGTGTGTAGGGGATTTGGTCCTCCACGCCTGACAGAGTCCAGTGGCTGAATTTCCCTCTTAGCACTACACTGGCAGCAATTATAAACAATTGTTGAAGTCTGTATGGATAGATGGTCCAGTAAAAACATTCATGTGAAGACATGAAAGAGCCACAGACCTGAAAAGGCGTGTCAGTGTCCTCACAGCAGCTTAAATGCTTTGGCAGCAGGAGAACATTGTTTATTGACATCTTTATTTACGCTAGTACAATCTCTGATGGAAAGCTTTCTTGGTTTTGCAGTACAGATTAGTCATTTTCATAAGGACCAGCAAGTACTTAAAGGCTGCACAGACTCTTCTGTCTGTGTAAGACACCTTTTGTTTTTATTTCACAAGTTAGTTTATTTTATAGCAGGACGAGCATTGTTGGTTGAAAAATATTACTTGTTACATCCATTTTCTATTTGGTACAATGGAAAACACTCACAGGGCTTAGTCACTCAACCTTTCATGTAAGTGTGACCTTCCCAGTTTACCTGTTTTTTCCACTAATACACAGAACCTAGTAAGTTGCCTGTCATAAAGGAAAAGAATTTGGCATATATTTCAATGGATATTGTCTGGAAAAATACTGAAATTGTCTAAGACATTATGGATTGTTCTTATCATATATAGATTTTCTTTAAATAAAACTATATTAAGCAGTCATTGTAGGAGTCATATATTCACTAAAGCTTTGTAATCCTTGGACTATCCAAAATTCTTACCTGCAACACATGTGATAGCAGTAGATATTTCAGTATACTTATTGCCATCTATATATTGCCACACCGAATTTTCTTTTATGAATTTTCCTATTTGTTTTATGTTATAGATTATAATAAAATGGCGAGTCTTACTCACTGCGAGTTGTAGTTTTCAGATGTTTAAGTGTTAGCCACAGAATCCTTCACATAAAATTGCAGTTGGAAGCAAGGTCTTACTGTAGACTGTGTATTTACATATGCAAGTCAAGATGGTTTTTTATTTGTTCACCTTTTACGAAATCGAAGGCAGCAAAGTCAACAAAGGGAAAAAAACTTCCTCTGCTAATAACTATAACTGATTTACTTTTTTATTTTTCTGTTGTTAAAAAAATTTTAATGCATATTTGTGCATGCTCTGTTCCGTTTGAAATCCTTTTTGTCTTAATTACAGTCCAGAAAAAGCTTGGCTTCATTTCCAACCTATGTTGAAGGTAAGATAGTTCTACAATTTCTAAATGTTTTTTCATATCCAGAAAACTCCAATATTTATACTGTATAAAATCCTGTTTTTATTTGCTCCTATGGTTGAGTATGCTGGTTTAGATTAAATTGTGTCCAATCTGAAACTTGAGCTAAATTCTAGTGTGCTCTTTCAGAAGTTCATAAACATGGAGCTTTTATTCTTCAGTATTTCATTCATAATTTCTGTCTCTGTTCTCCTGGTTTTTTGTCAGTATCACCTAAAACACTAGTAATTTTTTAATGGTATTTGCACAACACATGTGAGTGTGTGTGGACAAGGAAAATAGGTTAGGCAAGAAGGGTGTAGTGCTCTCTCCAGCACTGATTTCAATTGGCAGGCTCAATCCAATCTCAGTTGCATTAATTAGCAAATTGAATTAATTGGATTAATTGGCAGGCCTGCCAGAGGAAATCTGTACTGCTTTACAGCTAATTGTCCTCTAATTAAATAGTGCTACCTGTCTTAGAGTTAAGATTGCGCTTGTAGTAGTAATTAATCAGAAAAATGTGAAAAAGCAAGTTACCTGCTACATAAACTGTGTATACAGGAAGACTGCATGCTGTAAAACCCAGTTATCTTGTTATGAGAGCATGACAGAAGCAGATACTTGACGTGTCATTTCGTTTTTTTCCCCCTGACAGCTGTTGTTCCATATGCTTGATGAAATGCCAGAAATACATACAGTTCATGTGATATATCATTTGGACTGTCTTGGAACTCCTCAGATTGTTTCACAGTGTGCTGTGTTTAAACGATTATGTGATCATTCTTTTTAGACTACAAGTTGATCATTAGCTTAGTCTTCAGTGTGTGAGGTGCATATTTTGGAGTTTGTGGCCAGAATGTCAACTAATATAAATTTCATATATTGTTTTGACACTAGATGAGCTTTGGAATTTTGCAGCAGAAGGATGTCTCTTAGAACTGAAATTCATTTCCTAGTGGTAGCCCTGTTTTTCAAGGCATATCTTAAATAATCCCCCCCTCCTTAAAAAATAATACATTGTAAACTTGTCCTGGTTTCAGCCAGGATAGAGTTAATTTTCTTCACAGGAACTAGTGTGAGGCTATGTTTTGGATTTAGGATGAGAAAATGTTGATCATGTGCTGATGTTTTGAGTTGTTGCTAAGTAGTCAAGGACAGCCCAGTTTCTTGTGCTGGCCTGCTAGCAAGAAAGCTGGAGGTGCACAGGAAGGTGGGAGGAGACACAGCCAGGACAACTCTTTATAGTCAAGTGGTGGAAGTGGTGAAAAAACCTTGACATGTAGAGTAATAAATAGTAACACTTAAAATGCTGTATGGTTTCAGGGCTGGAAGAGCATGCAAATATGTAGTACTTCCAGATGCATAAATTTCCCTGAGGAAAAAATTCCATTTCTTTTGGTCGTGTACTTGAAAGTGACTCGTTCATTTTGAGAGTTTTCCAGATACATAGTATCTGAACAAATTCTGCACACTGGATATGAGCATCTTAAAATTACTAGTCATAAACTTTCATATTTAAAGAAACCATAAAGGGTACAAGCCTGCTCATAAGGTTTATATATCTACTTCTGTCTGTGTGTATAGTTGCAGTGCGATACTTATCTCCAGCTCTTTCTTCTGCTACTTTAATCTCAATAATAACTTGCATTTCTTTGGGGACAAAGTTAGCCATGCTTATTCTGAGTTGTTGTTAATCTTTTCTGTTATAATTAGAACAAAATTGGCATTCTGACTAATGTCAAACTTTAAGACCTATCACCTGGTATCTCAAGATATCCCTTGAACTAATAAAAACTCTATTCTAATATTGTAGGGGGTTTGCTTTGTTCTTAGAGGGAAAAAAAGCAAACCTAAAAACAGTTGGGTTTTTTTTGTTTTGAAATGCGGACACTTTTACCATTAGCATTCTTTAAGATGATTTGCATTTTCACTTGTCTTGAACATCAATAGTTTTTCCTTACTTGTAAGAAAACAAGAAGCTTCTTAGGTTAACCAGCCTCCCTTTTGGATCATGACAATTTTAATATATACCTAGGTGTTAAAACAGAACATTTTTACATGTACAATTTTTAGACATAATGATGAAAAACCAAAATGTTTGCAGGTCATGAATGTTCCTTTGTAAGGATTTGCATTGTTAGGCACTGAACACCTCACCACCCTCTAACTTTCTATAGAAGTTGTTGGGAGTCGGACCATTTAAGAATCTGTGAGGCTAAGAGAGTTGTTTTGCCATCAGGAGAGCCCATGCTCTATGTATTTAACAACATTTTAATATAACTCTGTACTTTACCTCAATACCCTTGTTGAGACTAAGAATGTTTTTTAGAGGTCTATGGCATAAAAGTACTTTGCTTAATTGGGCAATCAGTCTTCTTGCTAAGGGGAGATGTGTTGCACCTGTAAAGCATTCTTGGGGAGGTTCCTCTGTGTAAACTGCAGCTACACACAAGTGAGCAAGGGTCTGATGGCTGTTACAAAATTGCACCCATCCTCTTTCTGTCTGAGACTGTTGGTCTTGGAATTGCAAGGCTGGTTTAGGTGGGTGAGGGTAGGCTGAGTAACTGTGTTTGTCCTTTTATAACAGTGAAAACCCACAGAGGTTATTTTGCTCCAGGGTGATCCCTGCTCATGAGCTATTGTGAGAGACAGGCTGGATTAACAAATACAGCTTTTGCTGGAGAGATGTTGAGACCATTTGCTTGGTGTTTTGTAGCTTTGAAAGTACTGGTTGCCATATCATCATGCTAAACTGAAGTATTCCAGAGGAGGATTTGCAGCCATGAGATGCAGACTTAAGTTGTCAGAGTGCTGCTGTTCTATGTTTTAGCATGATTTTTGTGATTGCTTTCCTGTGTTACAGTTCCTGGACCTTGCGATCCTGAAGACTTAATTGATGGAATCATTTTTGCTGCCAATTACCTTGGCTCGACGCAACTCCTTTCTGATAAAACTCCCTCCAAGAATGTGAGAATGATGCAAGCTCAGGAAGCTGTCAGCAGGATCAAGGTGAGGAATAATTC